TAACCAGTAAGGTTAATATACCCCAGTATAAACCACTCAGAAATAGCTTCTTTGCTTCTTCATCTTTTCTTAATTAAAAAAAAAAAAAAAAAGTCATTCCTGATACTCAGCGAGTACCTTGCCACACCTGAGTTGGTGCTACTTGATTCCAGAATCAACCTCAGCTAATATATAATTTTATAATTGACTCTTTCTTTTGACAAGGATAATAGCAGGCTCTGCCCCACTTCTATTCCTTCAGTGAAGAATGAGGCAAGGTGGTTCAGTGCTGGACTTCTCATCTTCCTGGCAGAGACCAGGGCTTGATTCCCGGCCGATGCATCTCCTGTACGGCCACCACCTGTCTGCCAACAGAGGCTTTTGTGTTGCTACGATGCTAAACAGGTTTCTGTGGAGCTACCAGACTGAGACAGACTAGAAGAAAAGCTCTGACAACCTACTTTCAAACATCAGCCAACAAGAATCTATCACCACACTTGTCCCGTCCTGCTGTGCATGGGTTGCCAGGAGTTGGGCCACGTGACCACAGCTAACAGCAGCCACAAACAGCTGAGAGTGAAGGAGATTCAGAGAACAGGAGAACTTTCAACCAAGGTGAAGGTGTGAAATAGCTGAGTCACGATGTGAGGAAGCATGCCATTGTGGAAGGTGGTTTGGGGGTTCAGTATAAGGCTTGAGCTCAGGGACTGATTTCAGTAGAAACCTGTTTGTCAGGTTGTGCGGATTTCTCCTGCAACATTCACAGCCCACACACAGGCAGAAAGAAGATGGGTGTCTACATTAATCCAGGATTAGTATTATCAAGGGTACCAGGGGTGTTTGCAAGAGACCAAGTGCAAGGTGGGGAATTGAGATCTAGGTTGGACAAGAAGCCACGTGAAAGTAGGAGGAGATTCATGGATGTTGAGAAATCAGTGGGGCCAGGAATTGGCATTTAGAGTCAAAGGTCTTCATGAGGTGGGAGAATTGGTGCCATAGGGCAGCATTAGAGAATCAGCAGAAATGTTAGGATCTGGTGACCAGGAAGTGGGATGTTTGAGATCAAACATTCTAATTGAGTAGCCTTTGGGGTTGGGCAATGCAAGGTGGCAGAGTAGGAGAGGAGCCTGGGGCCATTTGGATGGCATGGTCAGGGACTGAGAGAGCCAGACAGGTGATGGCCACCCACATCTATCTTGAGTCAATGGAGACAGGAGGTGGAGAGGAGAGGGGTTCAGCCTAGCCTTATAAACCTCAGCTTCCTCATAAGCAGGACTGGGATGGTGACTCCCTCCCAGGTTTGATGACCTCAGGATTGGAAAGTGTTTGGTCTCACTTCTTGTCTCTTCTCTTACTCTTTCCTCTCTCCCTCTAAATAATCAGCCCTTCAGAAGCAGTTGTTGTTGTTGTTGTTGTTGTTTGCCGTCAAGTCAGCCCTGACTCATAGCGACCCCTCCTTGGGTTTCCAAGGCAGTATCACTACGGAAGTAGGATTGCCCAACCTTCCTTCCGAGGAGTGGCTGGTGGGTTTGAACCGCCAGCCTTCTGGTGAGCAGTCAAGTGCCTTAGGCACTATGCTACCAGAGCTCCTACAGTAGCAAGATGGTAATTGTGTCTACACAAGGCTCCTCCTTTCCAGAAGAATCCTTCCTCTCTGGGTTCCTCACTCCTTCCTGGAGGAACATTCAGTGCAGGGACCTCCATCTTCTCTAAAGAGGTTACTGATGCCACCTCTCCTTTTCTTGTGCTTATGAAGTCCTTGATGTCTTCGCCTTAGAGCCAGAGTTGCCAAAGAGTAGAAAGTATGATTAGCAGTGATATCTGAAATGATTGAGGCAGTTCACAAACAGCACATAAATATGTTCAATTACACTGGTGTGCTTCTAGTCCAGACAAGGAGGGCATCTTAGATGCTACTACATCTTGAACCCCTCTCTCACACTTGCTAAGCTCCCACTTTCAACAGAGTAGGCTTCAAGCTCAGGACCCTCAGCAGAGTGAATGAGAATTTAATGCAATTGGGTTGCTCTATAAGGAGGTTAAACTAGGAGCCTCAAAAACCAAGAGGAAGGAGTGTCTCAGAGAGAAATACATCAAGAACAGAGCACAAACTGAAGGCTATGATCTAGCCACAGGTGTGTTTTTTTCAGCTTGTGAGCTATTTTTAAACAGAAAATCAACTGGCAATATATTAGGAAAATTTGCACCAAAATTAGAATCTCTGGCTTTTCTTGAAGAAATTCAGATGGCTAGGCCATCACATTGGGCCCAGTCTCCAGGTGGAATGCTGTGTCAGCTGCCTGTTTTAGAGAGGTCTGTATCCTCCAGTTCCACAGACCCCACCACTCCCTATTGCCTTACCGTTACTAGCTTCACTCATTTACATTTTCTGCCTGATCTCTGAGTTTATGAAGCTGGTAAAGAAATGGGGAAGGATCCTCCTTAAGACTACAAAAGAGACCCCAGGCTGGTAAGAGGCAACAGGGTTATTTAGAGGTTTGGGAGTCCATAGAGGGGCCACAAGGACAGATATAAGCCGTGGTGTGCTGGTAAATGTTTTAACTGGCATGCCAGGAACAATAAAAGAGTTTAAACCCAAACATATACACACACTAAGAAGAAGGAAATGTTCGTTGCATACAATTTACAAATAAAAATATAAAATGCTTTTTATTGTCAATTCCAAGCAGCCAAATGAAGTCCCACGGAACTTTTGTTGATTTTTGCCAACCTCATGTTTCCAAAGCCAACTACCATGACCTGACAAAATTAGAATGGGAAGAAATGCTTGAGAACTACATGACTCAGAAAAGAAGCCATTCACGTCACTGAAGACAAAGTGCAGTTCCTACTTGAATGCTGGTTGAAGTGCTTTGTTTACATTAATGAGTAAGACACAAGTAAACCAATGACTGACTGACTGATTGACTGATTGACTGGGACCAGCTGAAGACCTTCCTGAAGGGAGGCAGGGGATGTCAGAACTTTATTACTTCATTGATAACATGAGCAACTTGTTTTCTGAACTGAGTTTGGATACTGGAAGAATATTTCCTCTAATTTTTTGTGCTATTCCCAATATAACAGCTAGACATGCCACACTTTTAAGTTTCATTTGCATTTTTAACATTTTATCCATCACTGTCTTAAGTCTAGAAAAACCAACAAAACAATTGATCAAGCCAAATTGGCAGTGTTGTCTGATTTCCGTGATGTAAATGCACCCATAACCAGTTTAAGCTACCAACGTGATGTCAGTGAACACAGGGTTGGGAAGAGATGTGTGTCATCTCCCACATCTCCCCCAGAGACAATGGATGTAAATACCTCGAGAGCACCAAAAAAAAAAAAAAAAACCAAACTCACTGCCATGGAGTCGGATCCAACTCATAGAGACCCCTCCTTGGGTTTCCAAGGCGGTATCACTATGGAAATAGATTGCCTAACCTTCCTTCCGAAGAGTGGCTGGTGGGTTTGAACCGCCAGCCTTCTGGTTAGCAGTCAAGTGCCTTAGGCACTATGCCACCAGGACTCCCAGATAACAATAAAATAATTAGGAGTCATGAGCTTTGAGCCTTTGTCACCTTTGCTTTTAAGATAATTTATTTAATTATAAGCTTAAATAAGTTGAATTTTTATCATGGCCATGTTTAACAGGCAGCTAGCAAAAATCTCAAACATTGAACAATTGGCTCTTGTAAGCCAGTGCAGGCCGGCTCCAGCACTCCACTGGATATCAAGGAAGTATCTAGAAAGTGAGGAGGAGGGGAGAACCCGAGGGGCCAGAGTCCTGTGGGGGCTCTGTGGAGAGCAGCACCCATGTGAGCAGGCCCAGAGGAGGAAGAGCTTCAGTGCCAGGACCTGACCCCTTGAGCTCCACTGCCCTCGGCGTCCAGAACTCCGTCAGCCCCTGCTTTACAGACCTCGGGCCCGCTCAGGCTCCACCTGACTCAGCCCTTGGGGACTACCCCTTTCCTGTGTCCCAAAGGTGGCCACCTGGGTAACTGCGGGTGAAAAGAAATCCCCCACACCCTGACTAGCTGCATGGGACCCACTGAAGACCCTCCTGGAGGGAGACAGGAGTTAAAGACACTTCCAGGGGCATAATTATCCCCATTTTGCCGATGATAAAACTTACCCAAGGTCAACAGCTGTCAAGAGGTGGAGGCTACATTGGCCACTAGGTTTGCCAGCCTCCAAACCCATCTCCTTTTGGCAAGCCACCCTCCACCCTCCTGGAAACAGCCCCTGCTGCCCACAGCATCTGCTGTGACAACTCCTGAATCTTAGTGCATACAGTTCTGGTAATCTATTTCACTTGCCCCCTATTTAAAACTTATTTCCTCTAAAGAGACAACTAGCAACTCAAAGGCAGGGCCTGTGTTGAACATCTGCTGTGTTATCACCATGGAGAACTGTAGATCTTTGTAATCGGAAAAGATCTTAAGAACTACCTGGTCCAGGCCCCCAGGGTCAAGAAAGGGGAAACTGAGACCCATGGTTATTCAGAGTGAAACCGCTAGAATGCAGGTCTCCTATCAACCACTCTGAGTTGTTGATGAATGATAAACATCCTGGATAAGAGATATTGAGGGGTTGCATAAAATGAGATACATGAGCCAAAAATGTAGGGTTGCACTCAGCCAGATGGAAAGAGGAGAGATACTATGGCCTCCTCAGTTGGATTTAAGGGTGAGACCAGGAGAGATTTCCTGCCAGGATGGGTACCCTAGGGGATCTCTGGCAAAGCCCATAGTGCAAAGAAAGTTCCATAAGATGTTCTCATTGTAAGTACTGCAGAGATGCGCCACACAGTGGGAAAACTGAGGCTTGAGACTCAAGATGAAGACAGGTGGGTTCTCAGATGTTGGCACTTTTGTCTCAGCAAAAAAGACTTCCTCTAGGACACAGGTGACTCTAGAAGGATCTAGAAGGAACTCTGGGGCCCCAGGGCTCAGGCAAGTGCAACGCTGGAGACTGTCTGCTAAAGCCATGGTTTCAGCATCTTCTGGGCAGATACCTCAGGAGGTCGTGGAGACTTCGATGGGGCTGTACCGGATGCCAGCTGTGCTCTGCCTGCTGCCAAAGCCCAGGGTGAACCTGCCGAATGGAGAGTGAGCAGGTTAGAGAGTGGCAGGGCCTGCAGGCCCTTTCTTGAGGAGATGAGAGTGGACCCCACCCCATCCTCAGAGCCCCCAGCCCTTCTACTTAGAATACTTTCTTCCAGGAAACATCCTGAGATGATTGACTTTTTCTCATCCTTCAAGTCTCAGCTCAGCTGGCACTTCCTCGGAGAGGTGTTCTTTGATCATTCTTTTATTTATTCAAAAAAGGCATAAGTATTGATTACCTGTGATGTGCTGGGCGCTGTTGTAGGCCCTGGAATATAGCAGTGAACGAAATAGACTCATACAAATTCCTTGCACTCATGGAGAATTCATGAAACACTTGTTCATGAATGAGCCCTTAATATACTTGCACCCATAATACACCAGTACCCACAGTGCACTTGTACCCATAGTGTACTTGTGCCTACAGTGTACTTGTATCAACAGCACACTTGAACCCTGTTGTTGTTGTTGTTGTTATTTGCCATCGAGTCGGCCCCGACTCATAGCGACCCCTCCTTGGGTTTCCAAGGCAGTATCACTACAGAAGTAGGAATGCCCAACCTTCCTTCCGAGGAGTGGCTGGTGGGTTTGAACCGCCAGCCTTCTGGTTAGCAGTCAAGTGCCTTAGGCACTAAGCTACCAGAGCTCCTAGCTAAAGTAAATGCATCCCACTGGTTACTCTCTGATAAGTTGGAACCTGCCTTACCTTCTTTACAACATAAACACCACCATGAAATTATTTTATTTATGAATATATGTGTCTCCTAATCTCGCTCTTCCCTCTACATTAAAATGTAACTTCCTGTGAGTCTAGAGCCAGGGGTCTCTCTTGACCATGGGTCTGTCCTCCCACCTCAGGCCTTTGTACTTGCTGATCCTTCTGCCGCACCGCTCTGCCCCCTCATCTTCACAAAGCCTCCATCTGCTCCTCACTAATGTGTCATCTACTCAGAGAGGACACTCACTCAGCCACAGTCCCCTGCTTCTCTGTGCCCCTCTCTGCCACCCTGGCCCTTTAGATATAGTTTGCTCTGTTGACTTTTCTTTTACCCACCTATCACTAACCAAAATCCTCTTACTGACGCATTTGTCGGCTTGTTTATTTTCTGTCCCCTCCCCCACCAGCCTGGACACTCCATAGGTATAAGTGCCTCGTGGATCTTATTCTCGGCCGTATTTCCCCCAGCTGAGAACACTGCCCTCTAATGAGGAATGATTAAACCCACAGTTTTGTCACAATACAGTGTTCTGTTTCTCTCGGCTGCTGTTACTCTGTGGTTTAAAATTCCACTGTTCTAACCTTCTGTGATCCCGTACTAGTTGCTGTCAAGTCAATTCCAACTCATAGTGATGCCACATATAGGGGAGCAGACCCCTGCTCCGTAAGGTTCCAATGGCTGATTTTGCAGAGGTACATGCCTGGGTGGTGCAAACGGTTAATGTGCCTGGCTGCCAATCAAAAGGTTAGAGGCTCCAGTCCACTTGCAGGCACCTCAGAAGAAAAGCCTGGTGATCCCGTTCTGAAAAATTAGCAACTATAAACCCATGGAGCACAGACCTACTCTGACACGCAGGGGTCACCACGAGTCAGAACTGGCTCCACGGCAACCGGTCTGATTCCGTGATCACACGATTTTAAAATGTCTGAGAACGAGGGCTTATAGTTAAATGAAACTCCACTGCAGGAAGACAGACTCAAGGGAAAGAGCTTGTGTATGAAGACAGGACAAAGCTCACAGTGTCCAGGCAGTAGGAGAGGTGGGAAGAGAAGAAAAAAGCTCTCTTTGCAAGGAAAAGTATGAGAGCTAAAATCTCACAGCGACGTGCTCAGGGTTTGGTGTGACTCTGCCTCCCACCCCTCCGGCCATCCTGTCCATCACGTACCGTGTCTTCTGGAACTGCTGGTCTATCTCTGCCAATGACTGGCCTTTTGTTTCAGGTACAAATAAATAGATGAAGCCCAGGCCAAGGACAGCGGTCAACCCGTAGAGCAGGAAGGTCAAGGACAAGCCAATGGCACCTAGGAACAAGAGGGTGGGCATGTTGGGCAGGGAGAACTCAGGACTCCAGCCATACAGGCTGGGCCAAATAGATGGTTCTAAGCCAACCATCAAAAACCAGTTTATCCAAAGCAAATTCTCCAAACAGTAGATTTGCAAAATGACCAATTTCTCAAAAGCGGTCAGATAAGGACCTTAATACAAGAGTAGGACTGGTTGACCCCAAGGCAGGGCCAGAGCCAGGACACAGATCCATAAACACAGAGACAGCAGCAACTGGTGTTTAAGGAGACCACTCACCCACATAAGACATGCACCGCTGAGTGCAGCGTACTCAGTGTGCAAACGTGAACAACCAAAGGAAACCGCCATTCAGCTCAGCAGCCAAACAGCTGCAGAGACCCAGCCTTGGCAAAGCTCAGCTTCAAAAAGTCTTCAGAAATCCCACGAATTGGTTGTTCTGTGAATTGATCATGCGGAGAGTTGACTTTCAGCCGAGCTGGCCTGTGTCTGACTGGTTTGGGAAGGAGGACAGATGGCACGGCTCAGTTCATCAGTTGTCTGTGTCACCCCTCTCTGTTCCAGCTAGCCTTTCTCTCTCCCTGGGGTGTCAGCAGGAACCAGGGTGTCAGCAGAGAGAACTGGGCTGGGAGTCAGGAGACCTGAGTTCTAGTCTTCTGACGACCTGGCTGGACTTGGGAAGGATGTATTTCCCCATCTGTGAAATGGGGAGGAAAATGTTTACCCTGCCTGCGTCACATTAATTCTAATACACCTCCCCTCTCCCTTCCTTCTTGCCTTTTCTCCACTTCCTGCTCCTTCATTCCACATAAAAGGGAAATGTCTGAAGACCGGACATCAGGGAAAAGCTGGGACTCCCTAAGACAGGCATGGTGGGCATTTCTGCTACCAGTGTGCCCCCCATAGCACCCCAGAAGTGGCTGTGCCTCTGAGGAGGAGAAGCTTGGATATAAGGAGTGGGGAAATAACTGAACCCTAAGAGTCACCACTCATATGTTGGTATGTTGTACTGTGGTAGCTTGCATGTTGTTGTGAGGCTGAAGGTTATGCCGCTGGTATTTCAAATACCTGCAGGGTCACCCATGGTGGACAGATTTCAGTATTGCACTGTGCAAATCTGCTGCAAAAGACCTCTTTAAAGTGCTGAAGAGCAAAGATGTCTCTTCGAAGACCAAGGTGTCCCTAACCCAGGCCTTGGTGTTTTCAATCACCTCACATGCATGTGAGAGCTGGACAATGAATAAGGAAGACCGAAGAAGAATTGAATCTTTTGAGTTGTGGTGCTGGCAAAGAATACTGAAAGCACCATGGGCTGCCAGAAGAACGAACAAATCTGTCCTGGAGGAAGTGCAGCCAGAATGCTCCTTTGAAGCGAGAATGGTCAGACTTCGTTTTATCTACTTTGGTCATGTTGTAAGAAGGGACCATTCCCTGGAGAAGGATGTCATGCTTGGTAGGGTGGAGGGTCAACAAAAGAGGGCAAGGCTCTCAATGAGATGGACTGACACAGTGGCTGCAACGATGGGCTCAGGTATAACAAGGATTATGAGGTTTGTGAAGGACCGGGCAAGGTTTCATTCTGTTGTGCATAGGGTCGCTACGAGTCGGAGCTGACTCGATGGCACCTAACAACAAGAGCCAGGCCCTGGGATCCACAGCAAAGCAGCCCCGCCCAATTTTGGCCCAGACCACCAAGGCCGATAGAAGACCAGTGGCCTTGGGCCAGGAGCATATCAGCTCCTCAGAGACCCCTATTCTGTGCTCTGGACCCATAAAATTTCCACCATCCCACCAATCACTTAGATTGGGTTTGAGTGCTACGTGGGAAAAAAAGACACCACCCAGGCTTGATTTGAGAAGAATTTCTGTTGCCAGGGGGGCCCAGGCCAGCCTGCAATGGTTTAGAACAAACGCTTATCTGTTGCAGTGGCTGCACCTGCTGGTCTCAGTGACGTGCATAGATCGTCACCAGGATCTGGCCGAGGGAACTTTCACTGTGATCAAGGGTTCTGGGTGCTATCTCAGGCACTGCTACACAAGGATTTATTCAAATAATTCTACTGCTATAAATAGGAAATTTTGAAAAATTCTCCTGCTTTAGAGGGAGGAATTTGGGGTATAGAGAAGGAATCTGCTTAGCAGGGGCTAGAGCCCCATTATCAAGATCTCCAGACATCCCCCATACACCACTTTCTCTCCACCCCACTACAGCAATCAGAGATGGCACCCTAGAGAGAGAACTGACTGCTTTGGCCTCTCCTCTGCTCTTTCAGCCTCTACTCTCAAGAATGCCAACAACACCCAGCCCTCTCCACTGAGTGGCCCGGAAGGAAGTAGAAGGCTTGGGAGCCACACCCTCTGTTGTCTCTGCCTCCCCAGGCTCTCCTCCCTCTTTTTCTGATAAAAACACCTCAATATCCTTTGGAGGAGCTCTGGTAGCGTAGCACCTAAAGGCACTTGAGTGCTAACCAGAAGGCTGGTGGTTCAAACCCACCAGCCACTCCTCAGAAGGAAGATGGGGCAATCTACTTCTGTAGTGATACTGCCTCGGAAAGCCAAGGAGGGGTCACTATGAGTTGGATCCAACTCAACGGCACATAACAACAACAACAACCATATCCTTTGGAGAAACACCCCACCCCTACTCTCCACCCAGGTGATGCAGGTGAGGTTGGGTTATGCAGTTTCCACCCCTAGCTCCAGGGTAGGGATATATGTCCCAGGCCTGAGCATCAGAATACGCCAACCTTCCAGTGAGAGTGACTGGTTCAGGGATGGGCATGTGATCTTGCTAAGTAATGAGAGTCAGCCTTGGACTCTGCATATAACCACTGGGAAAGAAGTACTCTCCTTCCATGGGACTGTCAAGCTGAAAAGATCCGAGGGCATCCATCTTTGCCACTGTGAGGAGGAGTCTACTTGAGAATGAAGTGCACAGAACAGGAAACAAAGCTCCCCCTCCCAATAAAACTCCAAATCAAACCTACCACTGTCAAGTCAATTCCAACTCACAGTGACCCCATAGGACAAAGGAGAACTGCCCTGTAGCATTTCCAAGGCTGTAAATCTTTATGGGGGAGCAGCTGGTGGGTTCCAACCACCAACCTTTTGGTTAGCAGCCAAGTGCTTACCCACCAGGGCTCCTTAAGCAGAGCCCAGAGAGTGTGAAAGATGGCTGGCAACTATGCTTGAGGCCTTAGGTGAGCTGTGCTCAAAGCCACTCCCTGTTTTTAGTCGCTTGAATTATTCATTTAGCAATATTCCCTTTTGCTCAGAAGCTGGTTTACACTGGGTTTTCTGTCACTTATAACCTGACATACAGGTGCCCTGGCTGTCTGGAGAAAATTGCATCTGGATTTAGAAAGAACTGGGCCAAAGAATTAGGTCAAGGACTCACTGATGAGATCGAGGAAGAACAGGCTGATGAAGAAGTTGATGGCCCAGTTGAAGCTGGTGCAGAAGGCAAAGGCTCTCCCTCGGATCTCCGTGGGGTAGATCTCACTGAGAACCAGCCAGGTCACTAGGAAAGAAGAGAGAGGGCTCCGAGGCTAAGGCCGGGAACACGGGCCTGGCACCAACCAGCCGGGCCCAGCTATGGTTCACGAAGCAACGCAACAAAGTGAATCAAGCAAATCTTAGGCTCCTGACACCAAATTCTCCCTACCTGCTCCCCAATCCATCTGTAAGAATCTCCAACCATCCCAACTTGTTTGGGGCAGATGGGTTTCCTGGGACACAACAGTGTTAGTGACCAAACCAGGGCAGTTCCTGGCAAAGCAGGATGGTTGGTCACCCTATTCATTCATTCTTTTCCAGTAAACCCTTTAGCCACCCAGGGGCAGATTCAGGTTTTATGAGGTCTGAAGCTGAAACAATCAGGGGGCCCTTTTAAAAAACAAAACAACAAGCACCAAATTAGGCACGGGCCCTTGGAAGGAGTACATGCAAGTAAGGATCCCTGAAGTTTAAGCATCATCGCTTTATGGGGCCCTTTCTGAGAGCATGCAGTCCCCAAGCTTCCCACAAGGAAAGGAAGGGGGCTGCAGAGTTACCTCCAAGAAAACTCCCACTTACTTGGTCCAAATCCAAAGGAGAAGGCACTCACAAAGACCATCAAGCAGACCAGTGTGATCCAGTGCAGCAGTGTGTGCCCTGGGGCAGGAGAAGGGGGTACGGGGGAGGCGGCGCTCAGGGTCAGCAGGGGAGCGGCCGTGGGGTCTTCAGCTCTAGGATGGGACTTGGTTTTCTTAGAGGTTGCCAAGACGGGTTCCCTTTGGTTCTCTTGGGTTCTTGGCAGTGGAAGTGGAGAGGAAGCCATCGGCAGGCTGGAGTCTCCTGGGAGGCCAGGCAGTCTGGTGGCGTTGGGCATGGCCAAGCAACTTGGGCCCAAGTCCATGGGCATGGCAAAGCAGACAAGGCCTATGCCACTGACCGACAGGGCCATGAGGGCACAGCCAGCTAGCAACAGAACCCTGCGGCCTGCCCGGTCCACCAACCCAATGGCGGTCAGTGTCGACACTACCTTCACCATACCGAGCCCCACCGAGGCCAGTACTGCTGAGGATCCCCCCTGGAAGCCCACCGAGTGGAAGATGGTGGAGGCATAGGACAGCACGTTGGGCTGCCCCGTTAGCTGCTGGAAAAGCACCAGCCCCAGCCCCACCACAGTCCGGCTTTGCATGTTGTCCCGAGCCCTGAAGAGGTCCAGAAAGGAGTACTTTGGCCTGCCCAGCTTGGCGGCCTCACCTCCCTGGAGTGGTATGAGATCCTTATGGGCTGTAGTTTCAGTGGCCCCCGCAGGGAGGAAGAGAAGGCTGAGGGACTGCAGGAGGGCGGGTGCAGCTGCCCAGCCAAACATGTGCCTCCATCCCCAGGGGGTGCTGGCCAGTGCATAGTTGATCACGTAGGAGAGCAGGATGCCCACAGTGATGCCTGCCTCGTAGAGGGACACCAGCACTCCCCGCTGCCGTGGCCCCACGAGCTCTGACACATAGATACAGCAGGCCATGGAGGAGAGAGAGATGGCAAAGCCAGCCGCTGAGCGGCCCAGCACCAGCCAGGCGAGGGAGCCAGTCAGGCCCAGGCTCAGGCTGCCTGCCAATAGCACCACGTTGCTCCCAAGGATGGCTTGTTTCCTGCCGTAGCGGTCAATGATGAAGCCCCCTACAAGGGAGGCAAGGAGGGCCCCCAGGAGCAGGCTGCCCACTAGGAGCTCCTGCTCCAAGCAGCTTAGCCCAAAGTCAAGCTTTAGTGGCAACAGGGCACCCGATATGACAGCCAGTTCATAACCAAAAGTCAGGCCACCCAGCAAAGACACAGAGGCACACAGGGGCAGGACAGGTGGGGAGTTGCCTGGAAAACAAAAGCAACAGGGGCAGAATTCAGAAGGGTCCCTCGCTAGACCAGCCAGCCAGCCAATATCCCTCCATCCATCAATCTCTTTATCTATCCACTCATCTACTCCATCTATTCACCCATCCATCCATCCATCCATCCAAACACACATATCTGACACATGGATAACATGGATACAGTAGGCCATGGAGAAGAGATAGATGGCAGCTACTGAACAGCCCAGGGAGCGCCCACCATCTATCCATCCATCTGCACATCCATCCATTCATTGACCCATCTATTCATCCACCCAACCTCTCATCCATCTATCCATCCATCCACCCTCTATCCAGCCATCTACTCCTTTCATACATCTACTCCATCCACATACACTTATTGATTCATTCCTCCATCCATCAACTCCTTTCATCCACATATCCATCCATCTGTTCATTCATTCATCCTCTCATTCACCCATTTATTACTACCCACAAATCTATCCATTCATTCACCCATTTTTGTACTCCATCCTTTCATATGCCCAACCACCCATCCATCCACCCATCCGTGCACTCATCTATCTGCCCAATCTTTAAAAAATGTATTTATCTGGCATCTACAATACATTGTTCTTGGGCCTGGCAATATGGTAGTGGTGTCATGGATCTGACATTCTAGCAGGAATAGGCAGATGATAAAGAAATAAATATATAATATACTTCCAAGCAGTGATACATGTCATAAAAAATATATAAAGCAGGGAAAAGAGGTTGAAAGCGATGGAGAAGCAGTACTATCTTAAATACAGTAATCAGCTAAGGCTTCTCTGAAGAAGGAACAAAGATGTTCTGGGTAAAGAATATTCTAGACAGAGGGAACAGTGAGTACAAAGGGCCTGAGACAGACTATTTTGTGGTATGTTTGAACAATAACTAGCAATATTAATAGATAGTGCCTATATAGCACCTACTAGGTGGCAGGCCCTGTTTTAAGAGCTTCTTACAAGCACCATATGGCATATTAGGGCACCATCATCCTCCAAGGCACAGAGAGGTTACGCAGCAAGTAAGTGGCAGAGCTGATGTGGTTACAGCGTGCAGGCTCTTAACCCCCTTGTTCTCCAGCAAGGAGGCCAGAGGGGCTGGGTCCCAACAAGTGAGGGTGAGAGTGACAGGAGACCATGAGATAGGGAGGACCAAGTCACATGTGGCTTCACAGGCCACGCGGAGAAGGCTCATTTCATTCTCAGTGGATGGAAGCCTTTGGAGGTGGAAGCTGAGAAGTGAAGTGGTCCACTTTTACTCTGACTTCAGTAATGAGATGCTTAGTGAGCTGAGGTGGCTCACTCAGTGTCTGTCCACCTCTTCTTTAGTATCAGAACCATGTCTGGCTAAAAGACTACATTAGTTGATCCCTAAAATTCATGTTGGTTGTTTGACATGAATGTTGTTATTAGGTGCTGTTGAGTCGTCTTCGACTCATAGTGACCCCATGCACAGCAGAACGAAACTCTGCGCAGTCCTGCTCCAGCTCCGCAATCCTTGCTGTACTTGAGCCCATTGCCGCAGCCACTGTGTCAATCCATCTTGTTGACGGCCTTCCCCTCTTTCATCGACCCTCCACCTTACCAAACATGACATCCTTCTCCAGGGAATGGTCCCTTCTGAGAACATGACCAAAGTAGGTGAGATGAAGTCTGGCCATTCTCACTTCCAAGGAGCATTGCAGCTGCATTTCTTCCAGGACAGATTTGTTAGTTCTTTTGGCAGTCCATTGTACTTTCAGCATTCCACAACTAAAAAGCAACTCTTCTTCGGTCCTCCTTATTCATTGTCCAGCTCTCACATGCATATGAGGCAATTGAAAATACCATGGCTTGTGTCAGGCACACCTTAGTCCTGGTAATGCCAATTATTAAAGATATTTGTGATAGTTGGACTACATCTCCCAGCCTTCCCTGCAACTACAGATGGCTAATTAAATATAAGGGAGTTGCTGGGTGGGACTTGGCAAAAAGCTCTTTTAAAGGAATGGGAGTAGACAGCTGACTAGCATCCTCTTGCCTCTTCTCTTCATACCTCCTCTTCTTGACTGGAATCAATCTTGGCATCATGATGAACTGTGGGAGGGGCCTTTGGGGAAGTTGGAGAGCATGCCCATGACCCAGCCATGACCCAGCCCTGTCATTACTAAGGAAACACTACCCTGCACAATGATTCTTACTTCTTTGCCATCATGAATTGGGGGCTCTCAGTCCTAGATTAGGAGCTCTGGTGGCATAGTGCCTAAGGCACTTGACTGCTAACTAAAAGGCTGGTGGTTCAAACCCACCAGCCACTCCTCGGAAGGAAGGTTGGGCAATCTACTTCTGTAGTGACGACGCCTTGGAAACCCAAGGAGGGGTCGCTATAAGTTGGGGCCAACTCGATGGCACACAACAACAACAACAGTCCTAGATTAATTTATATTCAAATGGGCCATTTGTTATACACGAAAAATGAAAACAATGCCTATGAGAAGTTTATTTTGTTTTGTCTTGGCAGATTTTTTTTCCCTTGTCATATGCTTCTTTTTCCCTCCTAGCCCTGGTAATGTCAATTATTAAAGATATTTGTGATAGTTGCAGTTGTGTGTCAACTTGGCTGGACCACAATTCTGAATGGTTTAAGCAGTTCTGATGTGGCTTATTCCCAAGACAAGATGGGATGTATATGTTTTGAGCAGCTAATCAGTTGAATGGAAAGAAGGCTAGGTAATCTACTTCTGCAGTGATACTGCCTTGGAAACCCAAGGAAGGGTCAGTATGAGTCAGATCCAACTCAACGGCACATAACAACAACAACAATCCTTTGAAAGGGAGTTTCCCTAGGAGTGTGGCCTGCTTCCAGTATATTTATGGACATCCTAGGAAAACAGACACTCTTCTGTGGCTCAGGATCCTGTTGTATTGCCTACAACTGTCCGTGAGCGAACGACCCACCTTTTGGCCTGGAGCTCTTGGATTCTTCATTCATCGGAGTCAATAGCTGGTCTACTGCCTGCCAACCTTGAGCTTGTCAGCCCCTGCAGCTGTGTGAGTCAGGAAAAGCCTCCAGCTTGACATTTGATCCAAGAACTTGGGACTTGTCAGCTTCTGTAAGTGTGTGAGCCATTTTCCTAAGATAAATTTTTTTTTCTCTCTCTCTCTAAGCATTACTGCTTTTGCTTCTCTAGAGAACCCAGCCTAACACTATATTCTTAAGTTTCCCTGTTCTGTTTGTGCATATCTCATATCACCCTGCCACCCTACTCACTTGAATCACATTAGTTCTGGTCTCCCCGTCTTAGTTTCTTTATAGGTAGAATGGGGCTAATAATACTCACTCCACCTGCTTTCAAAGCTCATAGACTAAATCAAACAATGGTTATGAAAGTGATAAACGTAACACCAGGTTGTTGTATCTGCTGGTGTTGACAGCTTAGTACACTAGAAATAAAGACTTAGAATGTAAAGATGTGAGGTCTGGTCTCAGTACCACCACTCACTCTGTGTAACCTTGGACAAGTCACTGCCTCTCCTGGAGCACCCGTGTGCTCATCTATAAACTGGGGCTAATAAATCCTTTCTTACTGGATTCTTGGAAGAGCTTAGAAGAGACAGGTTACTGGTACACGAGGTGTGCTCAAAGAGAATGAGTGTTATTTTTACTACCTAGTCCTTCTGCCCGTTTCCAGAATTAAGAAAACACAAGCTTGGTGTGGCACCTGCATCCCTTCAAAACTCATCCCTGCAACAGCTGGTGCTAAGCTATAAGAAGCTGTTCTGGCAGCGTAGTGCCTAAGGCATTGAATGCTAACCAGAAGGCTGGTGGTTCAAACCTACCAGCCACTCTGCGGAAGGAAGACTGGGAGATCTACTTTCATAGAGATACCGCCTTGGAAACCCAAGGAGGGGTGGCTAGGAATTGGAACTGACTCTACGGCAATGAATTTGGGGTTTTTGTTGTTTTTTTTTTTTGGCTGACCTCATTAGCTCTTTCCTACAGATTCGGGGTAAACAGAATGTGCCTGTTGTTCCCAGCATTTCAAACAAGCTTTTTTTTTTCTTTTTTTTTAATAACTAGGCATTTTTCATGCAGAGAAGTAAAAACCGCAATAACAACAAACAAAACAAAACTATACATCTAGAAAATTAAAGCACACACCTAAATTACTCGGTATAAAGAAGAAATAACCAAGTGTTTGGAACTGACTGAGAATAAAAAAATGCCCCATAGAACAATGACTGAGAGATGTGGGCAAGGAGGTGCTCAGGTGAAAATTATAGCTTTTTATCAGAAACCAAGAAAGCCTGAAATTAGATTAATTACGCCTTCAACTGAAGAAACTAGGAAAGTTACAACAAGTAAGTGGAAGTAATGAATATAAAGGCAGACATTGCTGAAATGGAAAAACTGAAGACCGGGATAGTTGATCCCTACAATTCATGTTGGTTCTTTGACATGAACAACAAAATAGATCAAGGTTCAGCAAGTGTGAGGAAAGAACAGAGAGAGAAATACAAATAGATGAGGGATTATAAAGGGGTCCTCAGTACAGATCCAGAGGACACAGAAAGACTAAAGCATTTTCAATAGTTTGTTAAGATGTAAACAGCTATCATAGTTACCAGAGATTCCAGGCAAGACTGACGGAGCTGGATTGAGCCCTCTCGGCTCCCATTACCTCTCTCTCCTGCTTCTACTGAACTCACCTCTGTTCAGAGTGTCCTCACAGCCATAAAATAACAGGATCAGAACCCAAATGCTGACCTGACTCCCAGACCCATGGACTTAGGAGCTTTGCTGCACTTAGCTTCCAGCCAGAAAGGGCAGGAAAAGATGGATGGGATGTGAGAGAGACCAGGGGCACAGGGGCAGAGGTGGAAGGAAAAGGCAGCTCTCAGGAGAGGCCTAAGTCACAAAGGTTGAGGAAATGATATAAAGAAGAGCCCTAAAGGAGCCAGGCCTTTAGAAAGACTGGGGAAAAACACCCCCTACCTTAAGCTTTCCATGGCTCCCGTCACCCACTCGACTAAGTCCAAATTCCTGAGCATGACATCCAAGATCCCAGCTCAACCCAAGAAGGTACATTGGCAATAGTTGGTAACTGTTTACCCATTTCTCCACTACTTCCATGTGCCCTCATCAGCCCTGCTGCCCACCAGCCTCTCACACATACCCTGCAAACCCTGTTGTCCCCAGCATGCACCATGCATGTCCGTGCCCCTGCCTGGAGACTGCCCGTGGTCTGTCCAACAAACGCCTACTCATCTTCTTCAATCCCAGCTCTCGCGTCACCTCTGCTAGAACAGTAACAGACATGTTATTTTGGCATCTTTTCCCTGCTGCTCTGTTGGGGAGGAGCAACTTCTCCATCCCTTAGTCTCTCAGGTTTGGGTAGAGATGGCTGCCCCTACCTCCACCACCACTACCCAGCTCCAGAGTGGTGTTCCCGACTCAGATCTGACCAATCAGCAGATTCTCGTGCTCTGGGCAGCAGTGACTGGTCACACGGCTGGAACTGGGGGTGGCTGCTCACTGGGGATGCTAAGCTCAGTGTTCACCTGCCTGGAGCAGCTGGGGGCACCTTCCCCCAAGACGGAAGGGCTAGCCTGAGAGCAAAGCGAACACTAGAGGAAAACATGAAGGGAAGCTGTGATGGAGAGGGCGACGTTCCTGACTAAACTGCCCCAGGTCATGATGCAGCTGGGAAGTGGGAGACCTAGGGTTTGAACCCATATCTTTTTGACCCTGAAGGTTATATATAGGTCCTGATCCCTGGACACTGCTTCAAAGAGACTAACCTGGGAAGTCGGGGAAGGACAGGGACCCAGTAGCTGTTCATTTATACCTCCCCCTTCACGGCCACCCAGCCCCAACTCTGCGCACCTTGTATGCTTAGTAAATAGCCCTTGAATTAATTAGTAGGCAGCAAGGGGCCAGGAGGAGCAGAAGCAAAGAGCCAGGTCCTTCCTCACTTGCATTGTTTCCTTCAGGCTCAAGGCAGTGTCCCGGCAGTTAAGGGCATGAACCCTGGAGTCAGGGCTGGAATTGGTTTTTGCTAGTGCCATTACCCTGTTTCTTAGCCACAGCGTGAGAGGCTGGGTGGTGCAGTGGTGAGAAACACAGCCTGAGCCGAGTACTGGGGTTCTATCCCAGCTTCCCCTCTCCATAGCTATGTAACCTTGGGCAAGTCACTTAACCTCTTAGAGCCTCTCCATCTAAAAATGGAGATAATAATAAAACCCAAAAACTTGTTGCAGTCATTTCCTACTCACAGCAATCCTATAGGACAGAGAACTGCCCCAACGGGGTTTCCAAAGCTGTAATCTTCATGGAAGCAGACTGCTACATCTTTGTCCCACAGAACAGCTGGTGGGTTCAAACGGCTGACCTTTCAGTTAGTGGACGGTCTCTTAACCACTGCGCCACCAGGGCTCCTATAATAATAATACCTACCTCATAAGGCCTGCACTCAATTCACTGCCATCAAGTTGATTCCAACTCATAGAGACCCCATTTGGGTTTCTGAGGCAGTAAATTTCTACGGAAGTAGATTGCCCAGTCTTCCTTCTGCAGAGTGGCTGGTGGGTTTGAACCGCCAACTTTCTGGTTAGCAGTCAGATGCCTTAGGCACTGTACCACCAGAACTCCTTGTATAGCAAGCGTTAGCTATTACGATTCTCCACAGAACACCCCTGCATGACCTTTTAGAGCACAAATCGAGTCACATACCCTACACGGTTTAACACACTCCTCCAGTATCCCATGTCATGTGGAATAAAAGCCAAATGTGTCACCATGGCCTGCAAAGTCTGCGCCTGCCCACCCCTGACGGACCTTCTGAGCCCGCTCCCCTTGCCCACTGTGCTGCAGCCACAGTGGCCGGGGCTACAGCAGCTCATTCCTGCCTCAGGGCAACTGCACCTAATGTTCCCTCCACCTGGACACACATTCCCTGATTTTTACAAGGAGGGCTTCTTTTCCTAACTAAGGTCTCAGCTCCAAAGTCTCCAATTCGAGGACATCCACCTAGCAAAGAACTCGCCTCCCTGGGCCTTCACCTCCCATCACACCACCTCATTGCGTGTGCACAGTCCCTGTCATTCTCTGAAATGATGGCATTCACCAACTTGATTTCCCAGGGCCTCGGCTGGCATGTCAGGTCCACAAGAGCGAAGATTTTTGTCTCTTTTGTTCATAGCTGAATCTCCAACCCCTAAGCCAATATCTGGCACAAAGTAGGTGCTTAACAAAGAAAGAATGAATGATTGACCCTTTGAGGTTTCTGAATCTAGAGAAACAAATAGAAAGCTTAGTTCCGTGTAGCAACAAATAAATTCCTTATTCCCCTCTTCTCCAATTCTGCCTCCTGGATTGAATCACCCCGAGGGCAGGGGTTTTGTCCGTTTTACTCCGGCAGATTCTCATCCTAAGGCCTTGAGCGGGCCTGGCGCTCTGGAATGCCCAGCGAGTGAACTGATTAAAGAATTGCCTTTAGTGTAACCTCCCTTTCCTCATCTGTAAAACAGGAACAACTTCGCTTGTCTTGGGCATTGTAGTAACGAAGAAAAAGTGCAGGAGATTGCCTGGTGAGGAGAAGCGCTCAGCATCAAGTAAGGAACCCTCTCGAGTCAGTTCCCCCCGCCCCCGACGAAAGGTAGAGCGTCCCAAGCCCCTACCGGCCCCCAGCCACAGGCCTGCAGCCCCGGAGGCAGAGGGCGCGCACATTAATAGGGGACGCAGAGGCAGTGTGCATGCCCCGGGCGGTGGCGGGCTCCCTGCGGGTAGCGCCCATCGGGACTTACCCATGGCGAGCGGGACTCTCAGGCGCGTTGGGGGCGCTGGAGGCCGGGCGCGCATCCCCGGGGCCGGAGTCCCTGCCTAGGCGGCCGGACAAACTTTCCGGCCCGCCCCCGCTCTCCGTCCCTCCCTCCGGGCCCGCTCTCTACGCCGCCGCCACGTCGGCCAGCACAGGCCCCCTGTGGCTGGAGGCGGGACCGGGTCCGCCCCTTACCCAGCCTGGCCAGGCCTGGAAGGGGGCCTCACCAGAGGTCCTTCCCGCGCCTCCGCAACCTGGCAGAGGAAGAGGAGATCTCAATCACTGCGACCCACACTTGTTTGTGCTCCCCAGCGTGTACACACTCGCGCGCCCACACACACACACACACACACACAC